TTAATAAAAAGTAGGAAAAAACCAAGAACAGCTATAATATCCAATTATTACGTCCTCCAATGTTCCTACGTCCAGTCGGAGGTCAAATCGCGCCAAAAAATGAGAAATACCGAGCAATATCAAACAATAACGAGAAATACCATCACGTGAAGACCCAATACCGAGTTATACCGAGCTATACCGAGCAATACCGAGTTATACAAAAGTTGTACGGAATTTTTCCTAGAAAAAACTCGGTACAAGTCGGTATAGCTCGGTATAACTCGGTATTGGTCTTCACAGAGCGGTATTCCTTGTTATTATCAAATAATACCTAGCAATACCGAGCAAATACCGAGTTTTTTTGCGGGATTTTGCCTCTGACCGGACGTTCCTCTACGTCCTTACACCGGACCTAATAAAAATTCAGAAAGTAGAGACAATAACGCAGGCACAATAATGAGTAGGCCCCACACCAATAATGAACCGTAACAACATGACCAAACCCCCAGTTGAAGATTCCTCCAACGACAAAGCTCCTGTTCGGCTGTTGAAGCCTTCGACATTGGCTGATTTATCATTGATGAATTAACAATATTAATGAAATTCTTTTACAAAATTCAGAAATTAAAATGATCAAGTTATTTTTTTAAATAAAAGTAAATTTAATTCAAAGGTGATTAGTTTAAATTAATTTTGAGGAAATAAAAAAATAATTAACTTTAATGACGAATTTATTTATCTTTGATTTAAATAATATTTGTTGTGTCTTGATGTATTCGTGGCAATAGAGAAATATAAAGTTTAGCGTCATAGCGTTGTACGAAGATCTAGCATACAAGCAGATAAGAGAGAGGGTGTAGCGTTCATAAGAGACACTAGAGTTTTTACATGGAAACTCCTGAAAAGGGAAAAAATCATAGGCCCCGGACTAGTTTGAATGAATCCACTAGTATTTGCAGTTGATTACAAATGAGGTATTTCTTAGGGAGAAGGTTTTGGCTTGATATCACAAATGTACATCATATATAGCACATTACATGGTGGGAGTTACAATAATCAATATAGACATATTTATTCGATTGGCAGGACCATAGTTGATATGATAGAGGTCAGAAAGATCATAGTAGGCAAGAGATCGGGGTTAGAAAATTCATTGTCCGACGATGTAGCTCGGAAGGACCATAGTATGTAGGAGACCGATGTCAGAAACACTATTGTCTGGCGATGTAGGTCGAAAGGACCGTAGTAGGGGACGGAGGTCAGAAGTATCATAGTTCGTAGGAGACAGGAGTCTAAAAGACTGTAGTTTGCCGAAGATCGGGATCAGAAAGATTGTTTTAGTAGGGAGGTACTTTGGTAGAACTCTAGGCATCAGGTTATGACCCGATATAAGTTCGAGCCTCAGGTGGTGGTCCGGCAGAAGTTCGGGCCTCATGTGGTGGTATGGCAGAAGTCTGGGCCTCAGGTGGTGGTCCAGCAAAAGTCTAGGCCTCATGTGATGGTTTGGCGGAAGTTCGGGCCTCAGGTGGTTGTTCGACAGAAGTCCGGGCGTCAGGTGGTCCAGCAGAAGTCCGGGCCTCAGGTGGTGGTCCGGCGGAAGTCCGACGATGGTCGAGGAGGAACAGGGAGGCAAGAGCGATCTTCGATCTCTTTCATGAATCCTTTGGCTTCGGGGGTCCCTTTTCATGAGAAATGAGGTCTCTATTTATAAATTTTCGAAGCACGTATGGGGAGTGGCTTGGATGGACGGCCGATGTTGAATCCCTTGATTGTGGATCATTTGATGGACATTTGAATGTCTTAGTGATGTCGAAATTCAGTGATTTTGGGCTCGTTGGATTTGTCTCATCGAGCCGCTCAATTTGACTATAAGCACGTTATGTTTGGAAACCGTTTGGTAATCCAAATTGTGGTTTGAACACTCTAACAGTGCTTCAGACCCTTGATTTGATCCATTTGGGCTCATATTGAGTCAAATTTAGTTTCGTTGGGTTTGTATTTCTGAGACGCTCAGTTCGAATGTAAGTTTGTTGAAATTGGAGTTCGAATTGTTCTAATTTTAATTTCAAAACTTTCCAACTTTAATTTTCTTCGAGATTCGGGCCCGATCAACATAAATTTTTGAGGACATACATTCAGAAGTATATCAAATAATATTTATTAAAAATAAATAATTTTTATGTTAATTTTATCACATTTTTTTATCCAAAAAACTTTATTAAATAAATATGTGAAGAAATTAATATAATTTATATATTTTTATTTTATCAGATTTGCGAAAGAAAAAATTTAACTGACATTTGACAAAAAGTTCAATTTACAACTAATAATGGAATATGAACTAAATCAAATGAACAAAATAAAATCATTCGATTTATTTTTTTTGGATTTTTCTTAATAATGCACACTTTTACTCGCCATGAATAAATATTAAAAGAATATAAAATGCTCTCATATAAAAGTAATAATTTTGATATATCATCAAAGAATTTTCTTGATCAGACACCAATCTCGAAGCAAATCAAGTTGAAATTTTCAAAAATTAAATCGGAGAACTTATAGTCGAACTGAAGGTCTCAAAAATACAAACCCAACGACACCAAATTCAACTCAATCCGAGCTCAAATAAGTCCAAAGCAAAGACCCAAAGTATGTTTGGAAGGTTCAATCCATAATTTGGATTACCAAACATATTCCAAATGTGACATGCTTATAGTATAATCGAGTTGCTCGACGAAACGAATCCCAAGAGCCCAAGATTGTCAAATTCTGATACTAAACAGTCCACGATTAAGGAATTCAACATCAGATGTCCATTTAAACCAATCCCAATTTCCTCTTGATCTTCCTCATATTTACTAGTCATGCCACTCTCTGAAAACTATAAATATACCTCTCATTTCTCATGAGAGGGAACCCAAACAAGAAGAGAAGAGAAGGAAGCAAGAAAACTAGAAGAGAATGAAGCAAGGAAACAAGAAAAGAAGGAAGATAACGAAGGAAGAGAGCCCTCTTGCCATCAGACTCCTCCTTGACAACCAATGGACTTCCACCCGGCAGCTGACTGATGTCGGAGTTCTGCCGACAGCCAACTGACGCCAGATTCTTGCCAACCGTCAATAGAAGCCAGACTTTCGTCCAACGACCAAACGTCGTCGGATTTCCGATCTCCGTTTGTAGTTGAATTTCAACCCGATAATTTATTATTGTAATATGATCATCCTCAATTTCAGTGACAAGTCAGTCACTTGTAATTTAAGCAAACACTAGTGAAATCCTTTCAATTGGGCGTGACCAAGTGGTTTTTCCCTTTTCCAGGATTTCCACTTAAAAATTATAGTGTTACATTTTTCTTCTGTTTGTGTGCTAGATATACGTACAACGCTGAGACAAATTTTCTGACTCTATCACTTCGTATATTTTAGTACGCTACAAATCTATTTAGATGTGCAAAAAGAAGGGATGCCAACAAATCTAACTTTGGCAAAATCAAACTTTGTTTATATGCTTCAACTCAAAGCCATTCAATTCAAACTTCAATCAAATCACATTTATTTATAAGCTAGCTCGGGCTTGACTATGAAGTTCAATAAGAAAGTGAGTCAACACGATTTGTGAGCTATCTCAAACTTGTTTGATAAATGATTTTGTGAGCCAAGCTTTATGAGCTAAAGAGCTAAGCTTGAGTTAACCCCGACTCAATTCATTAGTTCACAAGCCAAATTGTTTAAAATATATCATTTCTAAATTACATTTAAAATATGATAGTATTGGAGTTTAAATATGAAGTTGCTAAAAAAATTAAAAAATTATATCTCAATTTCTTATATCAAGTAATTTTTTATTATTTTTATTTTAATTTATCACTTTTGTACCATTTTATTGTATTTGTTATTTAAATTATAATAATTTTATCTCTTTTATAGTAAATGAGTTGGCTCGTCAGCTGAGTTGAATTTATAGACCTAAATTCAAGCTCGAGGCGTAACCAAATTCAAATAAATATTTTTTAAAAGATTTCTATAATAAACCCCGCTAAATGAGGCGTAACCCCACAATACACCGAAATTATTAAACTGAATTGGTGCCTATAAACAGAATGCAGCGTAGAGAGTGCCGACGAGAGCTAATAGCGAAACTTTTGGAAGTTCAGCTTCTTTAGAAAGGATAAGCCATCTGCTACTAATAGAGAAATAAACCCTTACCAAAAAAAAGGATAATTTTTTAAATAATTCAGTAGTTGATTCTCTTTTAAAATTTGAGTACAAAATAAAGAGAATTCAATGGAATAAAGAAAATTGTTTATTATACTAAACTAATGTTTATAAAACAACGAAGGTAGATTTAACCCAAAACCTAAGGGATTTATTTATATATATACAAGCCAAATGATCTTTCTCTATATTTTTTTAGGAAAGTAATGATTTTCTTTCTATCTCAAAACTCCCATAAGGAATTAGATTTTCTTTTTAATTTTTGGCTTTTTGTGTGTTTCAAGTCGTTTTTTCTCCTCGCTCAACTTTAGGAGAAAAGTGAGTCAAGCCGACTCGTGAGAGAAAAAAAGAGTTGAAGGTCTAGAAACAATAGGGGTGAGCTTTTCTTTTTCTTCATCTTCAGAGTTAGTATGGTTGAAGATTTGAGACAGCTTTTTTTCTGCTTCTTAAAAAAAAAAAATTACTACAAAAATTTTAATTTATTCAAAAAATTATTTTAAAAAAATAATAAAAAAAATCTTCATAAACGAAGCCTGAGTTTGGCTCACTAATATCCTCAAATTTATTTATAATAAGTGTGCTATGAATTTAAGCAGTGCGAATTATTTAATTGATAAAAAAATTAAAAATTATTGTCAAAATTTTAAACTTAAATCTCTTCTGCAACACATTTTGTCTGGCACTCGTCAGAAAAATTGCAGAAAAAAGAGAAGTGGAGAAATGCTAAACTACATGACGGCGAACGCCAGAATCCTGCAAAGGTAGCAAGATTGCTTAGCTGAATTGGAGGCTTTAGGCAGAATGTCAGAAATGAAAATGAGGACAAAATTTAATAAACTACGAAAAGGCTTGAAGTTCTTCAACTTACAAGAAAGCATTAACCATTGAGCTACCAATGGAGAAATATGCTGTTTATTTCTTACATTTCATCAGCATATGTAAAGTACTTGGAGGCTGATCGATAACCTTCGGTTTCTTTCAGCCAGCGATGGTGGGGAAGCAGCTACCGGACCGTGTGAGAGATGGCCGTGGGACATCATCGGCTTTTTCTTCCTCCATCCGCCGGCGCGGGCTCGCCGGCGTCGACCTCAGCGACCGCGGCGATTCAAGGCTGCGGCGCAGAAGAAGTCGCATGGCGGAGATTAGATATTCAGCGGATTCCGACGGATCCTGAGACACGGCGCGGAAGCGGAAATCGCGAGAAAAACTCATATGGCGGGCGAGCGCTTCCTCCGAGGAGATCCGTTGATCCGCACGGCCGATCTCATCTGCAACGGCCTCGGTGCAGAGACCGCAGATCCATCGGCCATGGTGCCTTTCCCGCACACCCACGATGTACGCCGGCGTACACTCCTCAGTCAGGCCGCAGCATTCACACTTGGCGAACTCCACCTCTACTTGCGTCGCCGGCGCCGCCTTCGCCTCCGTAGCCGAGATCGACATCTCTCTCGCTGCTTAAGTTTTGGTAAATAGGAAAACGGCTCTTCGCGGATTGGGAGATTAAAAAAAAAAAGAAACGGAAAAGGAATCCTACCAATTTAAACGGAAAAACGATTTGGTTGTCGAAAACGGTCGATTGAATTTAATAAGATATTTGTGGTGAATTAGATTGGAAACGGTTGAACTATCGCTCCTTCTCCCATATAACGGATGTATCCCGAGCGATCGCCTCCGTTTCCGCGGCCTCTTCCTTCCTTATCACGGAGACAATGTGATCATCTCCGGCCAGAGACATTTCAGGATCAAATCACGCACAGATTGATCGCTGCAATGGAACCAAGTAATATCGTATCGATCAGAAGAAGCGTGACGATCTCCTCAGCGAGATTTCAGCCCTTTCTCTCTTCCTTCTCTCTGTGAATTCAGATAAAGAAAGGGATTTCATGCCGATGTCTTTGCTTTGGAGAATTGGGTGAACGTAGACAAATTTATTGCCGTCAATTTCGCAGCCCGTAACGACTGCAATGGTGGGTCCCACACTAATGATTAAGGCAGCTGTGGGGTCCGCTGTCCTCAAGAGAGATAGCTAGACACGTAAGCAAAGTGAGCTGGCGTGCCTGCTAGCCATTCATGTTTGAACGGTGCCAGCTGTCGCGCCTAATTCATGGGACCAATCGTCAGGTCCAAGCTTCCACGTGTTTTGGGTGCAACGCACCCATCAAGCTTAGGTTTCCACGTGGATATTCGAGCAAATTTTGTGGTGGTCAAAATAGCGTTGTGTCTGCTTTAACGTGGAGACAGTCCGCGTATGTGAGCGGCTTGCGACGAGCAGCTAATTGATGTTCCAGTGCACCGAACGATGAGACAATTTGACAGATTCATGGCTCCCAAATTTGGATTCTTCTATCTATAATGAACAAGGGTTGCTTCTTAAATTCAAATTGGGGTCACATGAATTTTATTTTTAGCTAATAAAATTTGATGAAGTGCACACATGTAAAATTATTTTCTTTCATAAAAATATTTTGATAATTGTATGAAATTACATCGACTCGTGTAAGGGTCAATCGGCGAACATGAAAAAGGAATGTAGTAAATTACAAAAAAATGTAATATATTTGAAATATTTGAAGTTATTTGAATGAGCGTAAATAAACACAAATGATTATTATTTTGTTTGACTTATAACAAAATGATTTATTCCTTATTTTAATGCCTCCAAACAGATAACTAACTAATTGGATTAATAAAAATAAGAAGCTTAAGAAGAACTTTTCCTGACTTTTAATAACTCCTATTCTACGTAGTCTTTAGCTTTCCATTTTTTCTTTCCTGGATTAACTTATAAATAAAAGGGTGAGCAAATCTCTTGCTACGTAAGCTCTCTCAAATCCTATTTAAAAAATCAATATTCATATTTAGATTTATATAAATTTACTAAACAACTTAAGATTTTACAATTTAAGTCAAGTAACATTTAAGGGTGTAGAAGAAAACTTTGATCATTATAAAAAATTAACATTAACTTGTACTTACACATTTAACTCTATATCTCATATTGTCATATTTTATGGGTAACTCTGTAATTTATCTCATTAGAGTCATTTTTGTTTTAAAGTTTCTCTCTCTCTCAAATGATTTTATACAATAAATTAGTCTTTAATTGTCATAACTATGGATCATAATTTTGATAAATAGTTTGTCTCTCCAACTTAGGCTTCGTTTGGGACAGTTTTTTTCTTGATTCTTGAAGCAGATTTTTAGTATAAAAATTAAATCTTTTGTACTAAAAAGCTGCTTCAAGAATTGATAAAAAAGACATCCCAAACGAAGCAGTAATCACCTCCCAAAATTGATGATCGTTTTTGTAATTAAGCTCCCTCCACAATAATCAGCCTTTGCCCGCTTAATATATATGCTTTCAAAGTTTTTGTTATAATCATCTAAATGAATTATTTCACCTCTTTAAGAACCCGTCTAATTTCTCACTAAATTGAAATTGAGGTCAATTTGAGTAATTGTAAAATAATAAGTGTAGTTTTCGAACCAACATAATTGTACCGAGTTTTATCTTGTAATCCGAACTTAAATTCTTATTTAAATTTAGCTCATTATGTTGAGATGCTTCAAGAACTTTTGAAAAGGCCGACACGTTGCCACAAAAGCCTTTATTTCGGACAAATTTTGACCACTACTTTTTTATAGTTTTTAAAAAAGTTTTATATAAAAAACAGAATAATAATCCTTAAAAAGTTATCTCAAATTATAAAAAATTGATACAACTTTCTTTTTATTTTCTAAAGCAGCTTTTTAGTAAAAAAAATATAAAATTTTGTTTTAAAAAGTCGTAAAAAATCAGTCCCAAACGAAACCTAAGCTTAAGCTTTTGTTTGGGACAACTTTTTTAATGATTTCTAAAGCAACTTTTTAGTACACAAAATTCTTGAACTAAAATTTTTCAATAAGAAAGCTCTCAAAAACTAAGCCTAAGACATACACATCAACAATAGTATTTTTTTTTTTTTAAATTTGATTGTTAAAAATATAACTCGAATTACTTAACGATATTTGGTCGTAAATTCTTCTTTACCAATATAATTTGGATGTTCCTTTCGATCAATATATATTATTAGAAATATATTTCCTCCAAATAAACATCTCCCGACCATCATTACAGGCACACACGATAAGGAATATTGCTATTGATATGTCATCAAAAAAATTATCCTGATCGGACACGACTCTCGAGGCAAAAATTAATTTGGAAACTTCAAAAATTAAACCTGGGATCATCTGGACTCTAATTTCAGCAAACTTATAGTCGAACTGAGCGTCTCGGAAATACGAACACAACGACATCAAATTCAACTCGACCTGAGCCCAAATAATTCTAAATCGAAGACCCGAAGCACATTCAGAAGGTTTAATCCATAATTTGGATTACCAAACAATTTTCAAATATGACATGCTTATAGTCGAATCAAGCGGCTTGACGAGACGAATCCAACGAGCCATAGATCTTCGAATTTCGATATCATTAAGACCTTCAAATGTCTGACAAACAGTCAACAATCAAGGGATTCAATATCAGCCGTTCATCCGAATCACTCCACATTTGTCGTCGATCCTCCTCCTATTTAAGGGTCATGCCATCCTAAAAAAATTATAAATAACCCCTCATTTCTCTTAAGAGGGGATCCAAACAAGAAGAAGAAGAAGAGAAGAGTAGGAGGGAAGAAACTCCTTCTCGACCACTGCTGGGATTCTGCCAGACTTCTACGGGATGCCGGAATTCTATCTGACTTTCACAGGACGCCGGAATTCTGTCCGACTTTCACGGGATGCCGGAATTCTGCCCGACTTCCACGAGATGCCGGAATTATGCCCGACTTCCACTGGACGCCGAAGTTCCACCCAACTTTCAAGTGATGCCGAAACTCCGCCCGATCTCCAAGTGACTCTAGAGTTTTGCCTGAATACCATGCATCTAACACCGGAGTTCTCCGCGGTCGCCGACTAACGTCAGACTTCTACCCAACGAGGACCTCTGCTAGTCGACAGATTTCTACCTGACACCAGATTTCTACCTATTGTCTGATTTTCGTCGGATAACTATCCAATGTGGGATTTCTATCCATAGCTAGACTTCTAACTGACGTCGTCCTTCTGATCCCCATCGTCATACAACGGTCCTTCCGACCTTCGTCGCCAAACGACTATAGTCCTTCTGACCTCTATCGCCCGCCGACTACGGTCCTTCTGACTTACATCGCCCACTGACTACAATCCTTCCAGCCAAACAAACATATCAACAGTGATTCTTTGTATTCCTACTATGTAATGTACTATATAAGATGTGCATCAAACTAAGGCCTTCCCCCAAAGAAGAGCCTCATTTGTAATCAACTACAAATATTAGTTGATTTATTTATACTAGGCTATGCCCCATGATTTTTCTCTTTTTTTTTTCAGGGGATTTCCGTGTAAAAATCTTAGTGTCTAATAAATAATATATCCTCTCTTATATGATTGCATGCCAAATTTTCGTACAAAGTTAAGACGCTAAATTTTATATCTCTCTACGGCCGCGAATACTCAGAATGCAACAGCTATAGTATCTGATTCACACTATCAATCTTATACGTGTGTTGTAAGCTTCAATAAGCTTGAATTTCAATTAGATAATTGATATCCTACCCCAAAATTTATTTGATCTATCAAGCAGGAATTTTGATATAATTTTTCGGATCTCAAAGCACATGACTTCAACAATTATGGAAATTTATATTGAAACCCAACTGCAAAACCTTAAAGAAAAGACAGTTCAAATTGTTGCTGTTGATGTTATTCGACTTATCCACCGATGCTTAGCTTGGTTGGTGGGTGAGTATGGTTGGAAACCCCTAAACCCGTGTTCGATTTCCCTCAGGCGGCAGCGCCACTTAAGTGGGATCCCAATAAGTACGGGCCAGGAGATTATGTAGGAGTGGGTGCCTCTTCCAAGTCAGTCGAGGAATTAGTTATACTGCCAAGCACCTTACAAATTGAGATTACAACAGGTAGATACCCCGTTCCAAAAAAAAAAAACAAAAAGAGAAAATGTTATTCGACCTGATTATGTAAGGTATCTATCAGACAAAAAGATTATCTGTAAAGTTCGATAAATTCTGAAGCGATGGGTATCAAAGTAAGAAAAGAAAGCGGAAAGAACAGGGATCATGTGCAAATCAGATGCCTTTCCCAACAAATTCAGAGAAACAACCTCAGAGAGCAGCTGTTCGGTTTGGTGGTTGGGTAATAATGGAGCAGGAGACAAAGGTAAAACACATGCCTTTCATGATTCTGATCGATCTTTAGTCCTTTAGCTGACAAACCAAGAGCCAGCAGCTTAGGATAAGCGCAAACAAACAATCTCGCGCAGGCTATGATGAAAATATACACGCAAAAACAAGACAGGAAAGGTCAGGCAGCGATAAATTAAGACGCCATTATTGATGTTAAGAAAGCTCGAAGCATCCAGAGATTGTATGGGTTGATAATGGAGCTGATCAATTATTACTATTTTACTAGCATGAGAAAAATGTTATCTTCTTTCAAAAAAAGTTTTTAGATAAATTGCTTTTAAACTAACGATAATTAGAGGGTTGTTAAATATGTTCTCTTCATTTGCCTTGTAATAGATAATATTGATCAGATATCTTTGTTGTTTGTCTTCTTAGGGAAATATATCTTAAAGTTGCTTTTGAATCAAAATGCTTATGGTTTGTAGAAATATAAGTCATAACTCTTGGCGTAAGAGATCCGCAAACTTTTGAACAATATAGATGGTCAAACATTCCAGCACCTTCTATATATGTCTGTGGCAAAGCTTCATAGGAATAACCTCTAGGTTCCAACCATTTTTGGTTCAAGATTAGTGAATAGTGATCTTATATTTTTGGTTGTTCATATTTAAAAAGTATTCATCAT